AAGGGAATAAGAACATCTGTAGCTACGTGATGGACTTCCGGGAACAGTTACTGCTTTCTAACAGCAGCCTGGACGAGAATACGAAGATGATGATCTTTAGAAAAGGCCTCGCTTACAAGCTCTAGGATAAGCTTGTAGGCCTAAAGAGCAAGAATCTAGAGGAGCTACAGAGCAGGGCAATCGAGATCGCCGACTAGCTGTATTGGATGGACTTGCATACTAAGGGAACTAAGAACCGCTGTCGGGAAGACAGATCCCTAAACAAAGAACACGGGAACAAGCACTGTTCTCCTTCCCTAGTACTAGAGGATAGAATAGAAGGTGTAGAATACACAGGGAGATCTGGGAGGCCCCGCCGACTCAGCAGCTCTAAGTATAACTAATTACGCTGTGAAGGACGCTGCTTTAACTGTAAACGTAGAGGACATGTATCTGCTACTTGTGCAGAGGATAAAGGTTTACCTAAGAAGAAGGGAAAGAACAAAAAGACAGCTGTGCTAAAGGCCTCTAGCTCTAAGACTACAGAGCAAAGGAAGAGCAGGAAAGCCTAGAAGGAGGAACTAAGTAGTGACGAGGAATTAAGTAGTGTAGATACCCTAGAAGAAGACAGCAACTCGGGAAAAGACTAGCTCTTGCCTAAAGTTACCAGCAAGAGCTGCATGTAAGTTAGCACAATTTAGCAAAAGAGTAGGCATCCTTTAAGAAGGACATGGGCAGCAATAGGATTACTGTCGAGACACTAGTTGACTAGCATACCTTTGCTTCAACCTTAATTAATACTAGAAATCTCTTATACTCTCTTATAAGCCCCCGCCTTGTTAAACGTGCTAGTTTACAGTGCCTACCTATCTCCCCCCGCGTGTTAGAAGGAGTTACTAAAGAGCCTGGGACTATTAGAAGAGTCGCTAGGCTTACTATTAACATTTAAGGCTACAAGGACACTATATGGGGATACGTTGCGCCTTTACACCTAGGGTATGATCTTATACTTGGACGCCCGTAGATGAATAAGAGACAAGTTACTATTGCTCTATTGAAGAAGTCTATCTATATCTATTTATTACACTAGAGGATCCGCCTTATTAGCACAGAGGACCGCCCTATCCTAAAGGACCTACGGCTAAAGCGCATTAGTACAACAGCTTATTACACGTACATCTAGCGCTCGAAGAACGACAAGACAGTACAGATATTCGTAGCCTCTCTTCAAGACATTAAGAAAGCGTTAGCCCTAAAGAAGAAGGTTGATGTTATGTCCCTTCTTCCTAAAGCACACTAGCACATAGCCTAGATCTTTGACCCCAAAACAGCTGCAAAGATGCCTCCTCTGCGCGGACTAGAGATTAATTATCAGATTAAACTAGAGAAGGATGAGAATGGCAAGGAGAAGGAGCCACCCTAGGGCCCCTTGTACAACATGAGCAGAGGAGAGCTCCTAGTCTTACGCAAGGAATTGATATCTCTCCTTGACAAGGGATAGATTAGAGCAAGCAGCTCCCTAGCTGCCTCTCTAGTGTTATTCGCAAAGAAGCTAGGAGGAGGGCTACGCTTCTGCGTAGACTATAGAGCTCTTAACGCAATTACTAAGAAGGACTAATACCTGTTACCCCTAATCTAGGAGACCTTTAACAACATCGCTAAAGCAAAATGGTTTACAAAGATTAATGTATTAGCTGCTTTTTACAGGATAAGGATCAACGCAGGAGACGAATAGAAGACAGCCTTCCGCACCTGATTTGGATTGTACAAGTAGCTAGTTACCCCTTTTAGTATAGCAAACGCACCTAGCACCTTTTAGCAGTATATTAACTAGACGCTTCGTAAGTACATTAACGACTTCTGCTTAGCCTACCTGGATAATGTCTTGATCTACACCAACGGTACCCTGAAGGAGCACTAGCAAAACACAAACAAGGTCCTTAAGGCTATAGGCAAAGCTGGTTTACCTTTAGATATTAAGAAATGCGAGTTCGACGTTAAATGTACAAAGTACCTTAGGTTTGTGATTGAAGCTGGCAAAGGACTAAAAATAGATCCTAACAAGGTTAAGGCTATTAAGGAATAGGAACCCCTAGTGAACGTAAAGGGAGTGCGTAGCTTTCTAGGATTTGCGAACTTCTACTAACGTTTTATTAAGAACTACTTAGAGATAGCAGCTCTACTTACAAGGTTAACTAGAGATGTTACCTTCTAATAGGGAGAAGCAGAGCAACAGGCGTTTGACAAGCTAAAAGAGATCTTTATTACCAAACTAGTACTCGCTTAATGGGACCTAGATCGAGAGACTATCTTAGAGACCGACTCGTCTGGTTACGTAGTTGCTAGAGTACTATCTTAGTACGATGACCAAGGGCTGCTACGACTAGTCGCCTACTACTTAAAAAAGATGACTAGCGCTTAGAGCAATTACGAAATCCACGATAAAGAATTGCTTACAGTAATCTGCTGCATAGCTGAATAGGACGGAATGCTGAGGTCTTTAAAGAAGTTTACGGTAATTACCGACTACAAGAACTTAGAGTACTTTAGGAAGCCTTAGCAGCTTAGCGAACGCTAAATAAGATAGGCCTAGTTTCTCGGAAAGTTCCCAAACATAGAGATCGCCTACCGGCCTGGAGCTGACAATGTTAGAGCCGATGCTCTTTTAAGAAGATATCAGGATATGCTAGCTAATGGTTTAGATGCACGGATCTCTTAACGTTTTCTGCAGGTCTTTAAACCCGCTACTGCTACGATAGACAAAGACCTAGCTGACGACGAAGCACTAAAGATCTTTTGGTGTAGTGTTGAGAGACCGACAGTTTTCTCCTACCTAGTGTCTGCACCCCTAACCCTACTAGCTCAATATAGGTTAGAGCAACTATGGGAGGAAGCTAGGGAAAAAGATTAGGTGTACTAAGCGGCCTAGAAAGCGGTTAGGGACGGTGAACGCAAGTTTCTAACAGCTTTAGACCTTAAGCTATTAATCTTAGAGTGTCGCTTAGACGACTCTAGTAACCTATTATATTGAGATCGAAAATGGGTACTAGACAGTGAACCTCTAAGGACTAGCATTATACACAAAATGCACTCTTTAAGGGCCTTAGGACACCTAGGAAGAAACCTTACATACTAAGCTGTTGCACGGGAGTATTTCTGGCCTTTATTAAGCAACTTAGTTCGCTAGTATGTACGGAACTGTTCTGTTTGCAGACGAGTGAAGCCTTAGAGAGATGGCCTCTAAGGGCTACTACGGCCTTTACTAATTCCTAAACGCATCTAGAAGGAAGTCTCTATGGACTTTATAACTGGCTTGCCTGAAAGTAAGGGCTGTACCAACCTAATAGTGGTAACAGACCGCCTTAGTAAGGACGTAGTACTTATAGGCTTAGCAGACATTACGACAGAGAGTGTAGCTAAGGCGTACATAAATTACGTCGTTGCATACTACTAGCTACCGGACTACATTACTTTAGACTAAGGCTCACAGTTTGTAAGCCACATGTGGGCTAGGCTTTGTAAACTAATAAGTATTGAGCGAAGACTATCGTTAGGATACTACCTAGAGACCGATGGATCTACGGAGAGAATGAACGCGACAGTACAAGCCTACCTCCGCGCTTTCTGCGACTAGAATTAGAACAATTGGAAATCTAACCTAGGAATAGCTAAAATCGCAATTATAGTAAGGGAAGCGCGGTCTACAAGGATGTCACTATTCTTTATGCAGCACGGATACGAAGTAGACCCTGTTCAGATTGCTATTAAGTACGGCCTAGAAAACAAGCCTAAGGGAAAGAGAGTGCAAGACGAGCATGAAAAGGCTGAGAACATCGTAGAAAGATTGAGGCAGAGCATTCAGCTAGCTTAAGCGATTATAGGAGAGGCACAACAAGACTAAGAACTGCAGGCTAACAAGAGACGGAAACAAGCTCCCTAATTGCGAGTTGGTGACAAAGTATAGTTAAAGCTAGGCGATTACTTTAAGACTAAGAGGCTAAGCAGAAAACTTGACTAGAAGAACTTAAAGTATACGGTACTTAAGATTGTAGGACTAAGCGCAGTCAAGCTAAACACTCCTGGACGAGTTTATCCAGTATTCAACGTTAACATGCTGAGGCTCGCTTTATCGGACCCGTTACCTAGTTAGCCACAAGATGATAACGAGCTAGAGCCTATTGAGGTGGATGGAGAAGAGATGTATCTGGTAGAGGAGATCCTGGAGGAGAGAGGCCAGGGGCACAGAAAGCAGTACCTAGTAAAATGGGAAGGCTATCCTGATCTAACTTGGGAACCAGCCGTAAATCTGAAAGAGACTGATGCTCTCAAAGATTGGAAACACGCCGCACAGGAGGGATCTAAGCCTAAGAAGGGGGGTACTGTAAGAGGCTGAAGCCTTGGTTAGTAGTACTTGGCCTGTGGCCTTCGTTATAGCTGGTTGGGATAGGCTGCAACCCTCGGAGCGTTGTCGGGGCTTCATCGGCGCTCCACGGACCCTTAGAAGTTTCTCGAACCTAGCACTACGTGATACATAGACCCAGCACAAGCGTAGTGTAGCTTCTCTATCGAATTCATTACTGTTATACCTTGCACTTATGGTCAACCCATCGCACTCTTACAGCCATCACTCTGGATATACGGATGTCAGTGAAATGCAGTAGAAGCTATGAGGTATAAAGAGATGAACCTTTGCTTCAGTTACACCCATCACAGTCCAGCATCTACTCCATCGATCAACTGGCTTACCTCGAGCCCGAGATTCCATTATCATCAAGATGATCTACATTTCAACACTCCTGCCGATGCTTGCGGCCATCGTAGCTCGTCCGGCTATAGGAGCTCCCTCATCTCTTGTACCTCGTCAAGAGGACTGGGACGGAGAACAAACTGGTGGCATTTTCTGTGAGAGACGTTTGCAACCCAATTGGGCTGACTGTAAGCTTCCGCACCTCCTCTATTACTAACCTCGTCTTCATAAAGATAAGCTAATCATTTCCTGCTGGTAAACAGGCAGCACTATCATGGACGGCAGCATGTACTTTGGCGAAGGAGACCCAAACTTCAGTGTCTGCGTCAACGCCAACGTGTGCCGCATCTGGACCGAAGGGAACTGTCGCATTTCCTTTTGCAACAATGAAGGTTATGAAGTTTGCGACCCGGCTTCTACCTGGGGCGACAGGGCCAGAGACATTGAAGGCAACTGCAAATCCAGCGATTCGGGTGGCTACCAGTCCAAGGCTCCACCTCAGGATTGGTCCGAGGTTGCCATCAGGCTCAACACGAACTGGCGTCTGATGTCCACGTCCAATGCTGGAGAGATTGAATACAAGGAAATGTCTGTGAAGGAGAATGAAGCTGAGCTTCGTGCCTTGTACGAGGATATCGAGAGTGTCGTCGCAGCATCTGGAGCCAATGAATTGGAGGGCCGGGTATGCATTCTAACTCTACTACACCTATTTATAAAGAAGCTAACTGTTTTCAAAACAGCAAGCGGACAGGTTCTCGGAAGTGGTCATTAAAGCCAACGTCTACAGGCCCGGATCTGCAGTATGGGTCGGACAAGTCGTCAACGACGGCGATTATACTGTTTCGACTGCAGAATCAAAGACGTTTTCCATCTCCGCATCCGCCACTCTTGGTGTAAGTGCTTGGGATGCAGTCAGTGCTGAGATTGGTGTCTCTGCTAGCTATTCCACAACTATGACGAACACCGTGTCGGTTAACATCAACATTCAATGCGGTGGTGGGTACGGTCAGGTTTACTGGCGCCCGTTCTTTGACGAGTATGAAGGTACTCTTGAGTCTGATGGACGGCGGGTCAGGATTTGGGTCCCTAAAGATACGGATGCGTCGCGTATGAACTACGACTACCAGTGCACTGGCTAAGCAGTGATATATGGTGTGAGTTAGGTCGCTAGCATTCATTTGTTTGGTAAAGTCATACTGTACGGGTGTAATGGACTGCTTTAATCTGGTTCAACACCAGATGAGCTGCAGATGGCAGTTCAGTAGGTACGACTGCCAAATACCAGCAATACAAACCCTGATTCTCAATCTCATTGTGTAAACTCGTTATTCCGTCCCTGTCTTGATTGGAAGATTTTGTCTCTTATATCTCTTTGCGCACTCTACTCTTTACTTCAAGCCGTCTCGATGCAAGACGGAAAGGAATGGAGGCGCAGGAAGAGTACCGTTAGAGCCCCTGACGTCGGCACACCGCTAACCCTAAATACTTCCGGGTTACAAGGTTCGCTGTTGGCCGTGGCAAACCGATGCCTCCGCTGACCTGTGAGACTTAATCTTGCTTGCTTTCTCATTGTGATGAAGATGATTCCCATGCCGCACAATTTTCCAAAGTCTCCCTTGGAGGAGGCTACTATCTGACGATGCACCGTAGGCGAACTGCGCAATTATGCGTTGCATTAATGAAAGCTCTGGTCATCTCTTGATCAAAAGATAGAGTATTCCAAAGTTCTCGGAAGTCTACCGAGGATGCCCAGTTCACGATGACCGAGGGTCTAAATGTTGCTTCAGAGCACGTGACCTAAGCCAGGCGGCGTCCCGGAGGCTTCGGCGCTATTTCATCCGTGTAAGATATCGGCAGTTGCAGTTATGACATTCGAATACAACTGCCGACGCTCCCAAGGTCCACAGGATGTCGCTATCGTCTCACACAAGGTTTAGCTGTCGAATTGATGATAGTCGGCAGTTCCAGAATAGCACAGAGCACATTGGCGATGCTGCGCCGTCTCGTACGAAAGGTGATGTAAAGGAGTATGTGACGGTTCCAGTACCGTACCGTGTAGTCGCGTGTACCAGCAAGTTGGCCAATGGCAGCTGAAGAGATATATTGAATGCATCGCGATAACCGAGTTTTGAGGCGAATGAGCAGCTTTTATCGATGCTTGTTCTTGGTGTTGAGACGAGGTTTACCCCGCGAAAGCGCCCCGGAGCTACCAGCCCCGCGCGATCCAAGCTGATCCAATCCAGCCACCGACCCACCTTGATCATATCGCGCCTCAGCCATCAACTGCCGACAAACATAATCTTGCGCAAGCACCCAAACGTGTTACGATGGCGACTCCGACCCCGAGAAGAGTGCGTGACGAAGCGGGAAGAGGACGGCACATGCCCGATTGCTGCCTTCCATTTATATGAGCTTTCGCCCCGGGCAGCGTTAGATATGATATTCGCTGCTTACTTTGCTCTGAATCTACTGTTACCTGGACCCCGGATCGAATCTCTCGCTACCGGTTAGATTGGGTTACGCAACATGCTGGCTACCGAGATCCTTCCGCTGCTTTTGCAGTACTGGCCACTTGTATTGGCAACAACCACCATTGCATATCTACTCAACAACAAATACTGGAAAGGGCTGAATAAGTACCCCGGACATTGGGCTGCCGGATACACCAACTGGTGGCGGTTGTGGGATGTGTCAAAGAAGAATCATCACTGGACGAACCTTGCGTTGCACCGTGAGCATGGAGACATTGTCAGGGTGGGCCCGAATGTCCTGTCTTTCGCGGATCCAAAGGCCATCAAAGCTATCTACGGGCTGAACAAGGGTGTCTATAAGGTATGTACATGCAGATAAGTCTGCTGGACGATAACTAACTTTGCCAGTCTGACTTCTACCCTGTCCAAGGTGCCGTGTCCAAGGGAGCACCGCTTCTCTCCCTCTTCTCCACCACCGACGAAGACTTCCACGCAAAGTACCGCCGATGCGTCAACAACGCATTCGCCATGAGCTCGCTCGTCAACTACGAGCCTCTCGTCAGCTCGACACTCACATACTGGCTTGACAAGACAGAGGACATGTTTGCGAAGACTGGCCAGAGCTGCAACTTCAGTCAATGGCTGCAATTCTTCGCCTTTGATGTAATCGGTGAGTTGACATGGAGCAAGCGACTCGGGTTTGTGGAGGGAAACAAGGACGTCGATAACATTATTGGATTCTTGGGCAAGTTCTTCGACTATGTAGCGCCGGTAAGTCATCACAAACCATCATTGCCGATATCAAACTTACGCCTCTTCAGGTCGGCCAAATCCCCATCCTTGACCGTCTCCTGTGGAAGAATCCCATTAGCCTCTTCGCCCAGCGCATCGGCCTGGACAAGCGCATCCATCCCGTCACCCTCTTCGCCCTAAACCGTTCTAGTGAGCGTGCCAGTCAAGTCGAAAAGATCAAGCGGTTTGGTCTCTCCGACGACGAAAAGGCTAACCCTCGTGGTATCGATCTCCTCTCCAAGTTTGCTCAAGCAAGCCACGATCATGAATTTATGGATGACAACCGCATCCTGTCTACCTGCACATCTATGGTCTTTGCTGGTTCGGAAACAACCGCCATCTCGCTTTCAGCTGTTTTCTACTTCCTGGTCAAGCACCCACGTGTCTACCTGAAGCTCATGCAAGAGCTCGACAACGCCGTAGCAGATGGAACCATCGAGTCTCGTCCCGACAAGACTGTCTCGTGGCCCGAAGCCCAGAAACTCACCTACCTCGACGCCGTCGTCCAAGAATCTTTCCGTCTTCACCCTGCACCCGGTCTTATCCTCGAGCGCGTCGTACCCAAGCAGGGTATGCAGATCTGTGGTGAAATCATTCCTGGTGGTACGATCGTCGGCTGCAATGCATGGGTTGTACAGCGTCGACCAGAAGTATTCGGAGTAGATGTTGATACGTTCCGGCCAGAGCGTTGGATCGAGGCTAGCCCTGATAAGCTCAAGGAAATGAAAGGAACGATGTTGCAGTTTGGTGCTGGGGCTAGAACATGCATTGGGAAGAACATTAGTCTCCTGGAGATTTACAAGCTGGTGCCAAGTTTCTTGAGGAGATTCGAGATTGAGCTTGAATACCCTGGTGCTGAGTGGAAGACACACAACGCATGGTTTGTCACACAAAAGAACTTCAATACGGTGTTCAGGCCAAGAAGAGGCTCGCCATAAGCAGCACATTTTATTGTTTGCACAGCGTTCTAGCGTAATGAGTACATACATTTGCACCTATCGAACAAACAAATTTCATGTCATGAATAGCACAGTTTAGCTCTGAGGGGATCTGCTTGATCTATACAGCACTTCTGCCTTCTAATTCCGCATTGGTAATTGGCACCTCTATTCCGCTCGCTTCTTCTTCATGCCTACCTGACGCTTCCCCATTACATCTCTGCCTTCCTCAATACTCAGCAAGGCTTCACGCTTCTTCTCCGTAACAGGCTTCAGCGCATCCCTTACAACCCTGCCTTCAACGCTAACACCTTCCTCCTCAAACTCCTCCATCTTCTTTCCCACACGCGCTTCGATCGCCAGGATAAGCTCCACATCCCTCTGTCCAATCAGAGTAATACTTGTACCAACCCTACCAGCACGCGCAGTACGACCAACACGATGAATATAATCATCCGGGTCGCGAGGTACGTCGAAGTTGATAACGAGCGCCACCTCCGGGATATCCAAACCACGGGCCGCGACATCAGTAGCGACGAGGATCCTAGCAGCCTGCGCACGGAACCTAGCGAGGTTACCCACGCGATCGTTTTGCTTGAGACCAGAGTGGAGTGCTGTGACGCGGTGATCGAGGAGGCGGAGCATGTACTCCAGGAGGGTAGCCGTTTTGGTACGATTGCAGAATATGATGACGCTCTTTTTGCTGTTCTCCGGTGTGTTTAATAGGACGTGGAGGTAGCATTCTTTGTGCGTAACGGGGGTTTGTAGGTACTTTTGCTGTAATTTTGGTGGAATCGCAAGATCCTCTGTGTCGACTTCGGAAACGAAGATGGGGAGACGGCCTGAAGCGCGAGGTTGGGACTTGAGTGCCAGGACCTCGGGCGTTACGGTCGCGGTGAATAGGAGGGTTTGCCGCGTTTCCTTGGGGGGTAGGGCGGACAAACAGGTTTCAAGGTCGGGCAGCATGGAGCCTTTGCCTGGGGCGAGTAGACGATCGGCTTCATCGAAGACGACAAAGCGCACACGGCGGAGACCACAGATAGTGTCTTCGCCTGAAGTGCGGATGTGCTCTGCTAGGCGACCTGGTGTTGCAATGACAACGTGAGGACGTGAGGCGAGAGCAATGGCTTGGGAGCGCTGGTCTGAGCCTCCAGTGATAAGAATGGGCTTCATTGATTGCGGCGCTGAGATTGCTTTGACTTGCTCGTAGATCTGGATTGCGAGCTCGCGAGTGGGTGTGACAATAACGGCGAAGATGCCGCTCGGGTCTTCGGCCCACTTCTGCAATATCGGTACAGAAAACGCTACAGTTTTACCTGTACCGGTTCTTGATCCACCGATACAGTCCTTCCCTTTTAGGATCTCAGGGATACAAGAGGCTTGAATACCTGTTGGGCGCTTGATCTCCATGCTGGCGAGCGACTGCACGAGCCATGGCGCTACGTTGAGCGATGTGAAATCCAGTTTTGGGATCGTTTTCGGTGCGGTTCCGGGAAGCCCAGGCGATTGTGCATCAATGTTTGATGTGTTTTGCTGCTTCGCTTTGATGCGCGAGATCGATGGTGCTGTTACCGGCAGCGGTTTCACAGCTTCAGCTTCGGAGGCCGAACTCTCAACCTCGGTCGGCGATAATCTTCTTCTCTTCCTAGCCCCTGACTGCGCCTCGAGGATGTCTTGGTCCGATGCACCGGAATCGCTGTAATCGGAGGTCACCATGATTGTGGTTGTTGCTTCGCATGTACGTTGGTGGTTCAGGTTCGAGTGTCTCCGAAATTTTATGCAGGGATATGTCGCGCTAGTCTTATCGATACAGCTGCGAGGAAGCTTGCACTTTCGGATTCGCACTTTGAGCAAAAACTTCACGACTTGGACAGCCTGGATATCCACAGAAGGTGCGATCAATTATCCGAGGGAATGCTATGCTTCAGTACTTTGCAGGTTTGATTGCCGGGCTATAGACTATCTTGCCCTTCCATCTCTCTTATACCTGCAACAATTCTCCCCACACAGACAGCTCTTATCTAATCCAGCCCAATACTTATCCCCATAGTCCAATGTAATCTCCTTTCCAGCATCTATTCCCTTGCTGACTAATACTATCCTCTGTGTATTCAGCCAGGTAAAATTTGAACATTGCGAGTTCGGCTTACAGCTATGATTGATGAAGCGCGTGAAGTTCCCTGCTCTGCCCTGCCAAATCTGGTAGCTGGCCAACGGCGTTGAGCTGTCCAGCACGTCGAGGTGTCTGACGCCATTCGTTATCAGCCCGACGAGCTCGCCGACGGCTGTCCCACGATCATACGAGGTCAACGCTACGAGCCCATTATTTCTACCGTCTGGGGTTCGGACGATTTGGACAGGTGGTGGTTTGCGCTTCACGCAACCAAAGAGGGTTGGGAAACAAAAACATAAATTATCCTGCGGATTTTCGGATTGTGGCTCATTACACAAAGCGCAAATATACGCTCCGCCTGGTCTGATTACAGCGTTCGATTGCGGTGTCCAGCGTGGATCTTCACATCCCCAGACTGATTCGTCAATAATCGATTCGTCGATGTGTTCGAAAGCAAAATATGGGTCGTGAAGCAGGTATGTTTGGCGCAGGGGTACAGGATCTGATCCGTCCTCAAAAACGACCCAATCGTGCGGGTGTCCAGGGTATTCGAGGGTTTGAGATTCGCCCACGATTGACAATAGCTGGCGCCAGTGGGGATGTAGGGTATCGGCTGCGACTTCGAGACGTTTTCTCAGATTCCGTAACCGGCGCATCGCATCTTTATCGAATCCTACTCGGTATTTGCAGAACCGATAGATGCCCATGCCGGCAAAGACAAGTGCAGCCCAGCCGGCTGCGTCTTTCACTTCTTTGTAGCCGCGCCAGATGGCCATTTTGTTGCGCAATTCCTTTCTGTAGTGGTATCGTAGTCAGCGAATGCGATGCACCACCCGCGTGCGACGGAAAGTACCAGGACTTACTCAGACCAGTCGAAGTCCTGGCACGCTTCCATAAAAACGGCTTTCCTATGCTTTGTTGTAGACAGCTCGGGTCTCGATTGGCTCCGATATTGTACCTGCTCCTCGAACAGCTCTACCCAGCGGGCTTGCACGATCATCTCGATGGACCGGCACACACGGCTCGCTTGTGTAACTTTACGACAGAAGATATTCATCTGACTGAAAGATTCGGATTTCGTATTCGAAGTGGTAATAGCAGTTGATGATTCTTCCGCTTGCGTTTGCCGGACCATACCCATGGAGGATCCATTGGGCGATACCTGGAACTGTTCGAAGATAGCTTTTGGGTCAAGGTTGAGTGTACTGTGCACTTGCTCCCAAATGCCAATGATGAGCTTGTCCAGAGTGGACGGTTGGAAGACGAACTTATCAGATGCTACCTGTGAATGGTTAGCCGATTTAAGAAGACTGCATACACAAAGACCTTTGAGGCACTTTGTGGTGTTGATATCGCCTAGAAACACGAGCTTCTTCGTATGCGAAGCACCCAGTAGAGGCATCCAATGACAGCCTGCTAACTCTCCAAAGAGACCCCAGCAGCTGACAAGAAGAACGATGTCGCTTGGGAGAGTCGACGTACCTTCTTCCGCTTTGGAAAGCTTCGACTATCCACCTGCATCTGGCGTTGGTGCTCAGTCAAGTCTTCTTGAAATGAAGACTGGTTCTGCGACACCCTCAGACCCCCAGTACCTTTCCTACGGGTTTCGCGGGAATGTTGTCCCGGGGGGAACGGGTCGCCCCGGGGATTAGATTCATCCATGGACGAAGACTCCTCGCAGTCGTTAGAATCTACCAGTATTGGACTTTGCGTAAGGGCTGGGGTTCTCATACCCGCCAGATCGACGGTTCTCTACGGACATGTAAGCATACGCTACTGCACATGAGCAGTGTGGGTGTGGTGGGAGCATGAACGTACCGATGCGACCCTCTCGGACTGCGCTCTTGTTGCATGGTTCGCATCGGCCTCCTCAAGAAAAGCTTCGACGCGAAGGATGGGATGGTCAAGGCTATCGAGCTGTGGCCATGCGATATTGATATTTAATCTGGCAAGATGGTCCTGGATAGCCCGACCGATGCATTCGGAAAGCCCATCGACGTCCTGGAGGCCATTCATCTTAACAAAGTGTCTCGATAGTGCCTCGCTAAATTGATTAGACCTGCGGGCTTGACACCGGACGCTAAGAGGCTTGAGCAGTCTGCGGGTAGGTGGGTGATATAATAAGCTCTCCCGCGATGCCCACTAGAAGTTTACTGTGGAGGTAGCTCCGTACAATACAAATAGTTCAGGACGCGAAACAAGATTCGCTACAGGCGTGAGATACCAGAGCGTGTGTGAGGTAAGAGAAACGCGTGCGTTTGTCCAAACGTCGGAGCTTTGATGGACTGAACAAACTGTCCGAAGTATATCCGGGTAGAAAGTCGCAGTGTCGCAACACTGTTCACGGCTTCTATATGCTGCGATGGGGGAACGCGGAACCGTGACGATATTGATAGAAATTCTGCTCAAGCAGCAGATGAAGTCGGAGTTTGATTAGAAACGCTCTTAGCCAGGTGCGGTATGGCGCTTGGCCTCAGTCATACACTCGGCGAGGAATGTGCGTCATTTTGGCGTGCTGGGGAAGTCTCAGCCAATAAGAAGCAAGGTCGCGGCTGCACGTAGCTATTCGAACGTTGATTGCGGTCGCAAAGTTGGGTCGTGATGTGCACGTTGCTCTAGATCATCGAAGTTGCTGCTCGATGATGCCTGGGCAGTCAGAAAAAAGCCGCAGGGCTGAGGGCGGCCTCAGCGTGGAACGGGAACTAGCCGCCACGCTAATCACATGCTCCATGCTCTCCATTTCGGCAGACGTCACCAAACATCCAAACATGGCCTCAACAGAAGACGCAACTTATCGCGACAACACAACAGAGCTTCATCGGGAGGCGAAGAGACAGTCTGCTAACACGAGTGTTTGCGTTTCTCTAACAGTATCATGTTGAAGGTCACTACACATGGATCGGTCCGCAAGCAGTTCGTTCCCTAACGACGAAAACTCGTCCCCACAAGTGCCAAGCGATACCATGGCATTGTTCACCGTAGTACGCCGGGGTTTGAAATTGGGCCTGCCCCCGCGTATATAGATTGGGCGTCCAGGGTCCGAATCAAGCTATTTACATATCGATTGTACCGTTTGCTAGCCTTCAAGTTTATTTTGTACGGTTTCGGATCTCTCATACACTTGTGATTTCATCAGTACAACCTTCACACGCGTTATAATGGAGCCGTCAGATGCGCCAGATACGAGTAATAAGGAAAGACAAGAGAGGACAGCGACACATGAATCGTATACCTTCCAAGGTGCGAGAGGATGGCGGAGATGGCGCATTCTACAACCTGGACGTGGCATGTATCACGATGTCAAGCGCAGGTTACCGTACTACTGGAGTGATATCACCGATGCCCTCACATATCGAGCCTTCGCCAGTACAGTTCGCATGTACTTCGTCAAGTAAGTTTACCCCGACATTTATCCACAATGTGTACTCAGAAATCTAGTGTATTACCTGCCATCGCTTTCACACTCGACATGTACCGTCGAACTGGCGAGTTCTTCGGAATCAACGAGGCTCTCTTCGCATCAGCTTTAGCAGCTATGGTCTTTAGTATCTTCGCTTGCCAACCTCTCACCATCGTCGGCGTGACTGGTCTAATCGCCCTCTTCAACTACACCATCTACGACATTGTCACCCAATACGATCCCACTATTTATCCAGCTTTTACCGCATGGGTTGGAATATGGGCTGCCATCTTCCACTGGATCGTGTCGTTTGGTAACTTCAGCGACTATATGGCTTACGTTACCGACTTCTCGAGTGAGACGTTCGGCATGTATGTAGGAATCATCTATTGTAGTATGTACCTACTGACTAGCTGAGTATGCTTACATCACTGACACGCTTACAGTCAAGGGTGTAGAAGAGCTTGTTTACCTCTTCGAAGTCTCCGAATTCGACGGTGGCTATCTTTCCATCGTTATCGCTATTTGCTACTTTGCCTCCGTCTATGGTCTCGAGAAACTCGGTGGGAGTACACTATTCGGCCCAGGTATCCGTAGTATCCTCGCCGACTATTCCTTCGTCTTTCCCACTCTGTTTTGGGTCGGTTTCTCACACATTCCCGGACGTTTAGAGAATACTGGGCTATACCGAGTGCCCATTACAGGCGCCTTTGAGCCGACGCAGAACAGGAATTGGGTGATTGACTTCTGGACTCTGGATGTCAAGTGGGTATTTGTGGCACTGCCATTTGGATTCTTGATGATGCTGTTGTTCTACTATGATCACGTAAGTCCTAGATATGATTTAGAATTTCCGCATGCTAACTTATCACAACAGAACGTGTCGTCCCTCACAGCACAGGCCCGTCAGTATCCTCTCAAAAAGCCCGCCGGTTTCCACTGGGATTTCTTTCTTCTTGGCTGCACATGCTTTGTCGGTGGCATTATCGGTCTTCCTCTTCCCAATGGTCTCGTACCACAAGCACCTGTGCATACCGACTCTTTGACTGTTTACGAAACGAAACTCGAAATCATCAAAACCGAAGATAGCGGTGAGATACGCAAACCGTATGTTGAAGCTACCGCCGTTGTTGAGCAGCGCGTTAGTCACTTCTTGATGGGCATGGCTATTTGGGGTACCATGACAGGTCCCTTGCTTACGGTCTTGCATACGATGCCCGCGGCCGTTTTCGCCGGTGTTTTCTTTGTCGTCGGTGTAAGTATCTCCATTACCACTTGTTCTCTCAACATGCTAACTCTTCTTTAGTGGGGTTCCATTGAATCCAACGGCATCGTTGCCAAAGCCCTCTACCTCATGTCCGAAAAGCGCTTCATCCAACGTGATAATCCACTGAACACCGTTTCCCGCAAGAAGATCGGACTTTTCATTGGCATCCAGATTTTCGGTGTCGCATGCACAGTCGCTATTTCGCAAACCATCGCCGCTATTGGATTCCCCGTACTCATTATCGCGCTTATTCCGCTACGCACTTTCCTGATGCTGAAATGGTTCACAGCACACGAGCTGGATGTTCTGGACGCTCTGACTGCAGACAACCCGTCAGTACTGGTGAGTTTTGGTGGAACGCCGAGCGGCATGAAGGCTGGTGGCCCCATGGAGGGTGGTTCTGGTGGTCCTCGGGATGAGGAGGCACTCGCACATCCACATTCTGTCAAGCGTCAACGCGCGGGTAGTATACATCGAGATGATTAGCTATTATTTGCAATGGCTACGTATAGAGAAAAGTGGTGATTTAGCTATTATTTGCAATGGCTACGTATAGAGAAAAGTGGTGATTTAGCAAGCAGTTTTGAGGTGGCGGTTAAGATCCAGTAGACTAATGCTCGCTTCTTGTAAATAGGCCTCCTACGCCTTGAAAGTATCTAATGTATTACAATTTTCGACTCCAATATCCTTCGGATTGCGTGGACACTCCGTATGAAGTGTAACAACATGAACATTGCGCATGTGAACCGCTTATATCCTCCTCTCATCAACCTTCTTCTACGCTTCACTCACCACCGCCGTCCTCTACTCCTAGTACATCTCTGCTTCAGCACTCCGACCCCCCATTCACACCCAGCATCTACAGCGCGCTCAAAGTCCCTTAGATCCGGCATCGAAACCGAAGGTAAGATCCTCAAAATCTTGTCATGCATTGCAGGTATATCGCTCCCTTCAAACGCTCGATTCACTCTTGTAGAAACCTCGTCTGATGCGTCCTCAGCCAGCACACGTAATTTAGTACATAGGGCTATGTAATCAACGGCCGTAGGATGTTTTAACACGTGAAGGGACTCATTGCGCCATGTCCCGTTTGGTGACGAAGGAAAGAGATGGGCGTGTGGTGGGAAAGCTTCTGTGTCGAACTCGGCCAGGAGTGTGCGATCGGGGCCGAAAGTGAGGACAGCATCGGAGTGAGTGATCTCTTCGGGTTCAAGGGAGAAATCACTGAGAGAGAAGAGAGAGGAAGGGTTTGGTGTCGGCGCTGAAGTCTCCTCATCAACGACCTCCCATGGAGCGGAGTCTTCTTCTGGTGGTGAGGAGGAACGGGAGGCAGGTGGAGAAGGACTGGAAGTTGAAGAGGGTAGTGGTGGTAACTTTAAAGTGGGTACTATCTCCCATGAAATAGGGCTTTGGGCTTTTGGACGATAGGACCACTTTGAAGGATTGGAAAGCGCGTGGGAATTACATGACGCGGTAGCCGGTTGTGGTGGTGCATTTCGACATTGTGATGTCGATGCGAAAGCTGACGAGGGCCTAGAAAGAACAACATATGTGAGGCCTCGAGCTTGTTGTCAGATTTTTTTTCCTGCAACCGTGACAGGGTTAGTCCAATGTTCTGTTTGCGCGCGTCAGATCCTCCTATCGAAAAAGTGTAATGCGTAATGACAATCGGCTCGTTTGCGCCTTGGGTGTGTGTAACGAGAAAAACGGTGGAAAAGGAACCCAACTATACAAAGTTTGTGCGAAACATCGTAGAAAAGCATTTGGCAGTTGTTGGGAAGGCATGATGTCACAGATGAGTAGTTTGCGACGTAGTGAATGGAAGCGTATGAGCGAAAATTTGTGAAGTGAAAGATTCGACACATCGGTATATCTGAAGTGCGCCTATTGATGGGTGTTTTCCGCATCCCTGATGAAGAGGAAGGCAGCTATTCAGGTCTTTCTCGCAATGCGAGATCAAAGTGGAATGCTACTTGCCATGCGAAACAAACCGTCCGTCTACACGCCCACGATGACCGTTCGCGACTGGATCAAGGGTATACCCGTTCTTAATTAACATGCTGCTGTTCGTAAATCGCAATCAGACGTCATTCCTCATTACCCCGACTCTTGAGAAAAAGGCGGGGGTTGAGATCTGAGTGCGGTAAACCCGAACCTGGAGAGCTGAGACAATAAAAATATTTAGATAGTAGTACAAGCTGCTATGAAGTCCGACTCGGGTACTTCGGTGATATACAAACGTTAAAATCGTGAACAAAAAACTAGACGTATCTGAGAAAGCTTGATGCCAACCAAAGTTAACGAAAAGGTAGAGGCTATAGATAATGTCGCACCTATATCAGGGACTGTCGCAACGATATCAACCATATGCTTGAGTTGAAGCCACCGTGTCATTGATTTAGAGAAACGGTTAGTATCCATTAGGCAGAGGCTCACGTTGCCATATCAATCTCAAGCGCCTAATTAACAATCTATGTGGTACCGTGGACGATATGAGCACCTTCCAAAATGTGAAATAGCTCAAGCTTGTTTACTACGCCCGACCGTCAGACTTTATCATGATCCAATATCAGCCTGGTGAAGCCATCAGTGTTACATGACATGTTCTTCGGACCGAAAGCTCCAACATCCGTTGTCGCGCCGCTGCGCGGAAGGTATATTGAACCTTCATGCACCCACATGTTACAGAGGTATCTTTCGTATATTTGTACACGTCCCCGATATGTGACAAGACACCAAATTGTGCAGGAAGAGACATCCTGTACACTTTAACTCGGACCAATACGAATGTAACTGGCATCGCCCAAACGCGTCAGAGTCATCATGTAGGACGGTATTGTGATCAGCTTTGATTTACATCGTACGATATCCTTTACTGCGTATCATGAAGAGCAAAACATGCTGCAGGTCGCCAAATGCGAACAACATGTAACAATAGTCCAAGTGCGGATGCAAGGGACGACATACCGCGTAAGCCTGTACCAGCCTGCTGAAGGAAGCATGGCGCTATTTTAACTTGAGTAGCAAGAGCGATTTATGTAATGTGGCGCAAACGGATCTTGCGGCGAGTGGGGACAGCTGCAATGAAACCTGGTTAACTGGAAAGTGTCGTTATTTCTTTTCGACGAACGGGCGCGCTGTGGACAAAGCAATGTGTTCGATAATGAGATCCCTGCTAATAATCTTCATACAAAAGCACAGTCCTTCTGGCAACATTGTCACACCTTCCAGTGACATCATGCACAACTCTGACGCTTTCTCCGCTGCCGGAAACGTCGACAAAACCGAAATCGGAGCGAAGTCGTGTGCTTTTACGTATTTCCCCACCTGTTGGAGTGCTAATTTGTATACCAAGCATATGGTAAACTCTGCTGCTCATGATATATTACTCACACCGTAATCTTGGATATAGTTCGCAATCTGGATCTGGCCCTCATGCGCGTCTGTGCTGTCCCAACATCTACGTCGCGATTGCGGAAGCCAGGTACTCTAGATTCGTATGAGATAGTCGTGATGTTTGGTAGAGGTGAGACACTCAGACGAGCATCTTGCCACCTGTAGACTCGACGACGGAGTTCACATCGTCTTTGAGCTCTGGAATGGCGCTCGAGACGTGCCGGGCGAGTTGTTCTTGCAGCGCGCGGTAAGCGTCAACGCGACCGTACAACATCTGGTTCATTCGCTGCACGGTCTCGACGAATTCGCGAGTGAAGATGTCCGGGTTCCTGGAGTTCTCTACATAGGACATGACCTCTGGGGGAATGTTGATATTCACCGAAGGTGCTGTTCTCGACAATTTTACCAGGTTCTGAACCAGCGACTGGCTGTGGTGTCATTAGCCTTGTCATACGATCCGCATTCTTTAGCCATCGCATACATCTCCCGCTTCATGGCCTCCTGTGTCTTGCTTCCATGGTGATCGTAAGCTTGCACGATGAGGTTGTAGAGGTTTTGTACGATGTCTTTCAATTGCGCTTCCACGTCGATTATCGCCGCTGCCAAAACCATTAGCAAGAACGGGAGTGATGGAGAACCCCATACATTCAGGACTTAGTGCTGCCATTCTGGTGTTCAGAGCAAGCGGTGCTGTGAGGTTTGCTAGTGAGCTGGTGCAGTGCAACGCGTGTCACAAAGAGAAGACGCGCCAAGGCTCGGCTAAACTCGGAAACTTTTGGCTGACTTTGTGTCGTCATCGCTCACTTTACGCAGTATCTAACTCAACGACGACTTTCATCAAGACCGCGTCGCAGAGCGCTATCACGTGTTATAAACCCTACTTAGTGAAAGCAACCATGAGCATTAGCCTGCGATGACGGAGAGCACGAGCCGGGATCCCGACGTCCCTCTTTCGCAGCCATCAAGCTTTCAGGCCTCAGCATCGTCTACACCAGGAGCCACTGGGAGCAATTTGCAAAACCAGGCTCGTGTAGCAGTTCGCCCAGCAGAAACACAAAAGCCTCAATTGGATATTACCTCGGATAAAGCAACTGCAGCATTCATTCGACGCACTCTCTGTTCCCACAATGTACTACTTGGAAACGGCGAGAAAGGACGCAGTACACCGCGCCCAATCGAAGATGTGCTGCCACCTTTAACGAGCTCAAATGAGGTTGATCTTCAGCTATACGGTATCATCTCAGTAATCATCAAGGAGTTCGTACAGACGTGGTACTCGAAGATAACTCCCGACCAAGTATTTGTCAATGAAGTGATTCAAATTATCGCTCACTGTACCCGAGGTCTGGAGCAGCGTCTCAGAAAGGTCGATTTGGAATCACTATTGCTAGATGAGATCCCTGAACTACTTCAGGCTCACCTGACATGTAGGTGATTCTGATCTTGGATTGTCGCATGAACTCTGTCTAATTGCGCCTTGCCAGCCTTCCGAATAGCAAAGAACCAAGCCACCTCATCAATTTCGCTGGTATCGGATCCTCATCTGATCTATCATACGCTCCACCCACACCCTGCACTTTCTCCTGTTCCAACTGATGATGCACCGGCAACAGTCCTAGAGCAGCGGGAAAGCGAGTCGGCGTGGCGCCAACTGCTCATCCATGGAGTGTTGGCTCTATTGCTACCGACAGAGGACTTGAAGAATGGGTGTTTACGCGCCCTGGTAGCCGAAATTTTCGCCGAGATGATCCTTGGAAACGGCATTAGCGGCAAAGCTTGCGAAGGCTGGGTGTTATGGGAAGGCATCACAAGGATAGCTGAGATTCTACAGACCGATGCCACAGAAGAGAAGGATCTCCAACCAGACGATCCCAATACAGAACAGTCGTTGACCCGTCTTGAGCGCTATGGCCTGCTGTCTTCACATGAGGGGACAGAAGTTAATCCAAAAGAACGACTGGACGCCGGCCAGCGTCGTCATAAGACCACGGCCGTATACACCTCGGGTGCGTTCTGGGCAATCATCCAATACGCTTTTCTGGCGTTTACTGCGGTGCGCGCGGTGATTTTGAGTCTTGCGACATTATCTTCCCTCCCGTCCAGATCTGCCGCAATCGACCAGTCATCCGTTGAGGCTGGCAGCCAATCGCAAATATCTCAAGCGGACACTGTAGCTTCCAGGCGCCCGTTAGAGACCAAACGGCCTGTAGTAAGCATGAGCTTGTGGTCCTTTGTAGCGCAACTTGCCGAGTTAGACGTCCGCATGCCCTGGCTGTTGGGCTTCATCTCTATGCTCCATCGTGGAGCGTTGGTCGGCCCAGGCAGGGTGGGTGAAACCGATGGTGTATTGGACAGGTAAGTTACGATAATATCTCTTTCTTCACTTGCTTCCCATGGTTGGCTGGCTGGTCAATCTCTGTGGGGCCGTGCGACGCAGCATAAGGTAGCTCCGCATACGATTTCAGTCACTTGACTTCGCTTCAGCGAATGCGACGGCCCGCAGGATCACACACCGGAATATCCCTGTAGTGGCGTACCGTCTTATGCAAGCCTCGGCACCCGTTCCGGGCGGCAACTCGACACGTTTCGAACGAGGGAACTTGGCGCATTTTAGGCCTTCGCTTTTGTCAACACCACGAATGACCGCACGATGCCTGCATTTTGGTAGGACCAATCCTGCAGCTCAGCTTCCATCAGCAGCTACAGGGCACTACAGCGTATGAAGGGTTTTCCGTACTCCGAACCGTCTTATCACGACCCTAGCTTCTGTGGAGGGGCCGCTTACGCGCCGGTTGATCTGTCCACACCGTCCGTCCGTCCCTCTCGGGACTGGCCGTACTGAGCTCAAGACACAAGATTGGCCATATACCCTGACCCTACCGTCGTTGCCGCCACCAGCTGATTGCGCCTCATTTTTCGGTCTCCATCATCTTAGCGGCCTGCGACATCGCTGCCGTCATGTTCTTGTCTCGTTGGTAATCCTAGCGAGCACGCACTCCTCGGACTCAACACCGCCTAGTTCGTTTGAGGAGTGTAACGAAACATTCGGCGAATGATACTGTTCCCGAACGTTTGGGACTGGCTTGTTTACTTGGTCACCACGACATCCTGCCTTAAGTTGAGTTGTGGCATGATCATCAATCTCGCTTGACATGGGCGCGCGCCTCACTATGTGGGCCGCATCAACATTCGACTCGATTCTCGTCCGATACATTGGACCTGCCACCACAGACATCGTCATTCGTGGTCACCAGCTGACTGTCCCGCGGACTCGTCTGCACGCGTTCGGTTTACTTAGCACCAGTCCATCTTATTCTTCGCGAGTCTAGTTTACTAACCAGTCGCAACTGCAGGTTTCTCGCTCATACTTTCCACACGCGGATCTTGAACCCCGCTTTCCTTCCAGTGGCGCTTCGCACCCTTCGTACAACACTCTTTCCTAACAACGCGCTCGGGCCCCCACGTCAGATCCCAACTGATGAAGAGACCAAGGCGATCAAACACTCCTGTGCCGCTACGCTGCTGGACTTAGTACCGCCCAAAGTAGCAGCCGCTTTCTTCGCGAGCCACGGACGCGATACCCAGGTCCGACGGATCGAAGACATACTAGGCTGCCTTGATGACGCCTATCTCAACAAACATCTCGTCTTTCAGATAGTAGAACTAATCGTACTACGCCTGTTTCCGGAGTTGGGAGAACAAGGCGTCAAGGACCTATTGGACGAACGTATCAGCTGATATTCTGATCCTGTCAGCGGAGTGTCTCTGCGTCGTGCATCTAGGATCAAAACACTATCCATCAAGAACTTTCACCGCCAGATGCGCGAACTGCTGGGCACGGCCCGTTGCGCAGTAAACATCGCCGTTCATACCAAGTGCCAACGAGGGCAACTTCCAAATCCTTGCATCGCATACATACTTCCATGAAATCGTCATAGAGTACTTCACTAAAGCGGCGAAACTGCAGCTACATGATGCAGTTCCACGTATACCAACTCATCGTGCGCTCGTAGCAAAATGTGGTGGAAAAGGTACACCGCTGATCTAGAAAAGAGGGGTATCAACCAATCAAAAAATTCCCTAAGAAAATTGTTGAGGCACATGGCATCCAGACTCCGGGCTGGCTGCATGCCGTGGCGAGCACCTGACTATTCAGGATATTGCCGAACGGAAACTACAAAGAAAGTACCACGAGGTGCCCCACATTGCATGTCTCACTCCAAACCATGGCTTAGTTGAGTTGCTACTCTATCATGAACGCTGCAGAATTCAATCCTGGAAGTGTTGTGTGCGGCAGGGAGAATACAACGCAAGTCCAACTACTGCGAATGAAAAGCTTGGACAATATGCAAGTCGCTCGGTGAGCGCGACGGTCCGTGTCAGCTCTACATCTGCGCGGGGATAAATCGCATACAACCGGGAGCCTTTAAAGATCGATATTGGTTGACAGACGACACGTGCAGTCGGGGCGCTGTGGCAGATGAGTATGACTAGTCAAATACAAGATGACTTTGTGCGCAGCTCCGTTACAATCTTGACCATGGTCTCCGATGCATTACCTACCACACGATCCTTACGAGCAGCGCAGGCTTTAGACGACGTTGGGTCGTCCTTGCACGTGCTTCATCTAAAGTAGCGTCCCGAGCTTCAATACACCTTCACCTATCAAAATGAACTTGTCTAAGCCCCGCTTCCTCCTGCATTCAAGCCCCACCTAGCGAGATGTCGATAGAAACTTGGTTCGGGAAGCCGCTGTGAACGATCATGGCTATGGATCATGTTTACCGCCTTGCTCGCTCTCGGCTACTCCGTGTGAACGTGTGAACCCGTGTTTCAAGGTCAAATATAACTCAGCCTCACTTAGGCGATGTATCGACCGTGGGGTTTCAGTAAGTGGATATTGCAGAAGCGAGGGTGGGCTGAAAGGTTTAAAATGTCGAAAGGTTACCCCGCATGCGCCTCCAGCCCATAGCCGTCTATCTCTTATCGCTTCCGCAAGGGTTGCGGTTCCTGACAAGTTGGCAACACGTTCCTGAACAGCCTACCGCTAAGGTGTTTCAAGATTCGGTTGGGCATCAATTACGCGGAACATAACGACGATCGAGTCAGCCTTCTTTGCTTCCTTTGCGGCACAGTCGTTCTGCATCTCGAACATTTGATCCTTTCTGATCCTATCGAATAACGCGCGCTTTATGGGCGCGTGCGTAGGATTCAGGTCGCCGCTTACTGCCTGCTTCGAGACGTCACTGTTGGTGATGCAGGGTTCTTGACTGACTCGGTACCCTGGATGACCGTTGAAACTTTAATACCTCGAATTCCAGAGCAAGCGAGGAACCCCTACACGGACCTGGTTCGCGAAGCCGCGGGATGCGCAATGTGAAAAAATCATGATCCTAGCAGCACTCGCTACTCAGCATTTGACAAGACGCGACATCGCCTGTTCCTGAACCGCACGGGGTCCAGGGCAAGTGCGTCAGGATCCCTAGCGACAATGCCCTCAACCCCAGCACCGACGATCTAGCATCTACCATAGTTTGGTGTCGAGCAAGGACTCATTAGGGGTTAGAATGTGCGTCAATACTGCGAATATCGACCCATGTTTCAACGGTTAAAGAGCTCGGAAGGTTAGTGCAGAGACGGCAGCGGGGGGGACTGGCTCTAACATGCAAAACATCACCCGTAGTGGGCAATCATTACGTGGTACCGAACTATCGTCATCCTGCGTAAGGCATGAAGACTCAATAATGAGGCGTACGGCATACTCACCTGGACCGATCTGGATCAATCGGCAGGCGCGTCGATAGTTTGAGTCGTTGTTAATGCTCAACCCAAATATAGTGCAGTATGAGGAAGGGATGAGAGGTTCGCTTGCTGCTGAATGCATGATGATGGTGTCGAATGACCGAGGCTGACGGTCGCAACTCGCCCTTCAATGCGAACACTCGCAAGAACCCCAAGCTACGGCCTATTTGGCAACGAAGGTACTTCTGACACCAATTCATGCGTTGGCCCGTCTTGGGAATTGAAGAACACTTCTGGAGCGACGGACGAGTGCATCTGACAGGGAATGCAAGATTGACGGGCACGTCAACGACGGATGAAAGCGTCACACTATGGCCTGTACACAGCGATACAAATAACTGCCCAATGCTCAGTGGTTGCACGAAGCAGTGTTATCCGACTGTCATGCAGCGCCATCAACGGCAAGGTCAGAAGATGATACGCTTCGCTCTGCCCATTTCGTTGCACGTGACACGAGCACTTAACATTGAACAGATAACCCGACTGGCTGCGCACAATGCCATGAGCAATTGAGAAACAAGTCTGCGTGCAGGTACAACATTGTCGTGAACACCTCACACCAAGACTTTGGTGGTCATCTCTGTACCATGTCCCTCTCTTGCTTAGCCGGTCCGTACCGTGTTACACAGCATCAGTCATCAATCACGTGGATCACCTAATGCAGGGCAACGCATGACCAAGCGACCAACATGGCAATGACATTTCTATGCGTATCGCCAACACATTATGCATACATAATAACTGAGCGAAAGAGAAAAGGGTCAGCCCCCTACATCATTGGGCAGACTATTCGAATTTCGTATGGAACTAAGGTGCGATAGCTAGCAATTCAACGCGATAATTGACTTTCGGGTGTAGGTTTCCTAGCTTCTTGCGCTACAACCTGCCACCATCGCTTGACGTAGGCCCGAATACAAAGGTGCTACAAACCTTTCGGCCTTTTTACTCCGACCGTCTACTGGCCCGGGAGACGGATGATAGGTAACGCAGTCCTTCACCGATCGAAGGGAGGCAATCGCAATCGCATTGCGGGATACGATGCTTATGGCGGTCTAGCCACTGCGCGCAACACCGCAACTAACGACTTGTGGAGTGCTTAGAAGAGAAGGGCCGAATGTAGTGGGATTGCGATACCCAAATACAGATCTACCATTGCGCGTCCTTCATCTCTACTTACTTTGCTTATTTAACCTGACAGGTACGTAACACGCACCGGACCTTGTTCCTTTTACTTTGCTTTCTGGAGCTGCTGCACATTGTACAAGGCTGCTACTGCAACTGCAACCTGCGTAGGCAGTACGTCCGGCATTTGAACAACGTGCAAGCCAGTGAATGAGCACGGTTGCGGACCGAACCGGGACCGTACCGAACAGTAATGTGTCGCAAAGATGAAAAAGAAAGCTGAAAACGAAGAGTTTGACATCACGCGGGAGAGAAAAAGTACCACCATAGTAGTACCTGCAAGGATGCCCAAAGCTTTGCTGGTGGGGAAAACGACGACATTACCTTCTTGCTTCTTTTTGCGGCTACGGGAACTGGTCTAAAGTGGCGTTGCAC